CTGAGCAGCCCTCACTAACAAGAAACGCCTGCCTTGCTTCATTAAAAAAAAAAACGTTTTCCTTTTTACTGAGCCTACCCAGTTCAAACTTAGGTGACATTTGTCAGCTATTTGGCTAATTTTATTTATATGAGTAAAGATTATATTTTATTATAAATAAAGATTTTATTTATAATAGAAAAGATTAGGGAAGACTTGGGTTTTTGTTTGATTATAATCAATTTTATGTTACACTTAAGAGAAATCTATCATTATGAGAAAATCATGAGACAAATTCTAGGTTGAGGGACAGTCTACAGCAAGCATGTCAAACTCAAAGGCTAACACAGGCCAAGTAAACAAGGTGTAAGTTGATGTGGCCACAAAAAAACAAAAGCTTCAATTTTCATAGATGCGTAGGTTTATTTCAATAGAGATATGCTGAATACAAAGGGCTGAAATAAATGAGTAATTGTTAACATAAAATAATAGAACATTTTAATAAAAATTAATATTTTTTTCCTGAACATTAATTTACCAGACACTGAATAACTGTACAAATTAATAAGCATAACACAAATAAACCTATTTTTATTTTTCTCCGAAAGCAAAATATTTTCTGTTGCGCACACCAAGCAAGTCAGTCCAAGACAAATGACGTGGCAGTTGGCTGCTAAAATATTCGCTGCTAGTATTAGTGGAGAGAAACGGTGCGCCTGCGCGTAAGGTGTGTAAGGGAAATGAGTGCAACGTGATTATAGTAATCAGTCATTAGCGAACGCTGTAGTTCGTTATTAATAATCTATACTAATAAAAGAGTAATATGCTAATTAGACCAGGAGACCTGCCAGATGTCCCTCCGGACAAAGCTGGGGGCTTAGCTGGCCTGCAAACCGCCCCAGGCCCCTCACCCAGGCCACCCGGTTCCCAGCAGAGACCCCCATCCCGATGGGGGTGTGTGGCCGGCCTGCAAACAGCTGTCAACTGGCCAACCTGCAAACAGCCCCTTGCTCAGGCTGGCCACGCCCCCCAAGGGGACCCTCACCCCTATAGGGGCGTGACCAGCCTGCAAAAGGCCCTCAGCCCCTCTCTCAGGCTGGCCCCGTCCCCCAGGGTAGACCCTCAACCCCGATCAGGGTGTGGCCGGCCTGCAAACCGCCTCAGGCCCCTTGTCCAGGCTGGCACTGCCCCTCAAGGGGACCTGCACCCTGAGCTGGGACCCACTTCAGGGCAGACCAGCCGGCCCCCACCTGTGCACCAGGTCTCTATCTTCTATACTAATAAAAGGGTAATATGCTAATTAGACTGGGAGACCTTCTGGTAGACCTTCTGGATGTCCTTCCAGACAAAGCCATGGTGGTGGGGTTGAGGCAGAGGTGGTTTGGGCGATCAGGCCGGAGAAGGGGGGGGAAGTTGGGGGCGAGCAGGCTGGCTGGGGAGCCAGTTGGGGGCAAGCAGGCAGACTGGGTGGGGCAATCAGGCTGGCAGGCAGAGTGGTTAGGGGTGATCAGGCAGGCAGACAGGCAGGTGAGTGGTTAGGAGCCAGCAGTCCTGGATTTCAAGAGGTATGTCCAACTGCCGGTTTAGGCCCTGTGGGATCGGGCCTAACTGGCAGTCAGACATCCCCTGAGGGGTCCCAGATTGGAGAGGGTGCAGGCTGGGCTGAGGGATGCCACCCTCCCCCTCCCCCCATGCACGAATTTCATGCACAGGGCCACTAGTTCTATATAATAAAAGCCTAATATGCTAAGTCTCTGGTCGTCTGGTTGGCCATTCAACCAATCAAAACGTACTATGCTAATGATATGCCAAGACCACTCAACTGCTCGCTATGACATGCACTGACCACCAGGGAGCAGACACTCTGACTGGTAGGTTAGTTTGCTGTTGGGATCTGGCCAATCGGGACTGAGCGAGACAGGCTGGATACACCCTGGAACCCTCCCGTGGTCCCTCCCTGGCTGACCAATCTCCCGTGTCTCTCCCCGGCCCTGATTGTGCACCGGTGGGGTTCCTTGGTCTGGCCTGCGCCCTTTCGCAATCCAGGACCCCTCGGGGGATGTCGAAGAGCCAGTTTCAGCCCAACGGTGGAAAGACCAGTCACTATGATGCACACTGACCACCAGAGGGCAGATGGTCAATGCAGGAACTGCCCCCTGGTGGTCAGTTCGCTCCCACAGGGAGCTGCTCAGCCAGAAGCCGGGCTGGTGAGCGCAGCAGCAGTGGGAGCCTCTCCCACCTCCACAGCAGCCTAAGGATGTCCAACTGTCAGCTTAGGCCCACTCCCTGAGGGCTCCCGGACTGCGAGAGGGCGTAGTTTGTCCAGCTCACAAAGAAGCATGTGGCAGGAGAGCCCACATGCTCGACCGTGGTTCTGACTGCTCAGAGGGACCACACCTGAGGAGAGAACCTGTCAGTTGAAATTCCAGGTCCATGAACACTCAGACCCAAACGCACTAAGTGAAGCTCAATGTTGGTGGCCCAAGTGACTGCCCTGCACCCTGCACACACCCTGGGAGAGGGCTGTCACCAGTGATAATGCACATGGGCAAAATCATATTCTCTGCAGGATGATTAATTTATCTGACACATCTGGGATTATGACAAACTAGAGGCCTGTTGCATGAAAAGATTCATGCAATAGGCCTTCCCTTCCCCTGGCTGCCTGCACCAGTTTTCCTTTGGCATCGGGGATCCGGGCCCTCTCTCCGGCCGGAGCCACCTTCAAAGCCTTCGCTGCTCCGGCTGGAGCCGCCTTCAAAGCCTTCGCTGCTCTGGCCGGAGCCGGATTCAGTCTTCACTCTGCCGCTATATGCAAATTAACTGCCATCTTTGTTGGCAGTTAATTTGCATATCTCAATGACTAGCCAATGGGAAGCGTAGGGAAGGTACAGTCAATTACCCTGTTTGTCTATTATTAGATAGGATGACTCAAAAGGGCGAGAACCAGCCAGCAGGATGGACCCTGGGCACAGCTGGCCTGGCCCGTTCAGCTTCATGTCCAGGCATCAGCCCCTCACCTCCACCGGTTCAGCGCCCTCCATCTGCACACTCCATCACCTCCGCTGATTCGCCCCTGCACTCTCTCATGGGTGCCGGAGCACATTTGGAGCGACTTCCAACCTGTGTGTTTGTAACCCCAGTTCACAAGCTTGAACAGCTGCAGGAATGTGGGCTCGTGCTCTCTCCAAAAGCAGCCCGTGCTTTGGCTCCCGAGTAGTTGCAGACGAGCTGTAGACCTTTCCCAAGACAGGGCGCCTGGGTCCTCCACACCCGGCACTGACACCAGGCCTAGGAGTGGTGGTGCTGAGCTGGCCTTTCCCTCACCCCCAAGCCTACCTGGCCACAAGTCTCGCCTCTTCACCTCCAAACAGCACCCCAAGCCCATCCTTCCTCTGCACCTTTGCTGCCAGCATCCGGCCCAGGCCACTCTCACCTCTTGCTTGAATTGGGCCAGGACTCTGGGGCTGAGGAGTGTTGTTGCATATCATGATTCACTTGAAAGCCACAACTCTGATATTCTCCTCTCCATCTGCTGTTTGTCTATCTCTCAACTATTTTAAAACTTGGATGATGGAAAAGGATGCCATTTATTTACTTATGCAAGCCCCATATACTCTAGAATAGAATATACCAAAGAATATATTAGAATTCTATGATATGTATACTTTCAACACACATAGAAGAACATAAACACATGTTGATTTAATTTTATGTATGGATTTAGTGTATGTACTAAACATTATCATTAAGTTTGTAGATATAGAGATTAATACAGACTTAATTTGTTGATCTTGCCAGATAACCCTCCCCCAGCTCACCTTCTTCTAGCCCAGGTACTAGGCTCTGGCATCAGCAAAGCCATCTGCAACCACCTCACCTACCCAGAGATGGCTCTTCCTCTGGCGTCCAGTGTCATCTGTCCCCCTGCTTTGGGCAGGGTCCTGCCCACCAAGATGGACTATCTGGGACCCGCATGTGTTCTGGGGGCCCAGGGCCCACTGGCTTATTCCGGCCACTGGCCTCTGCTAGCACGCTCCCCACGCACAGCCCGAGGCCGTCGAGATGGCCCCACTGAAGACATTGCACCCAGAGACACAGCCACTTCCCAGGCTGCTCCCAAGCACACCCAGGAGGTCCGCCCGCCAGCACCTCCATCCCCAGGAGCCGGTCCCACGCGAAGGGCTGTTGAGGGGGAGGGCTGTAGAGCTGCCACAGAAGGGAGCCACGGAGCTTGGGTTTGGATATAAGCCCAGGAGACCCATTGCAAAGGGCCCCAGCCCTTCTGCCTCCACACGTTAGCCCCTACAACCTGAGGAGAGAGCACTGGCCTCCACACACTTCTCCGTGCTCTTCCACGGGAGGCCTGGTGGGAGGTAAACACAACCAGAGCCCAGAAGAGGAGCTGGGAAAAGGTGGCAGAGGTGGGCACGGGGAGCGGACCCCACAGTTCTGTCAAGTCCACAGAAAATGAAAGGATTACTGAGCACTCAGAGGCATCCCCTTCAGTTCACAGGTGTCTCTGCCTTTCACAAAGCCGATATCTTAATTAAAATGCTGCCGAAAGAAACAAATCAGTGAGCAGAGAGCTTACACGATGGTTTATTCTCTTACACACAGAAAACTGCGTATGATTATCACATTACTGCTTTAGGTTATCAGTTAACAAAGGCTGCTAATGAGCTACATTGTTATCAAGTCAGATGAAAGATGCCCTGGGAATCCAGGCAAATTGTCGAAACGCAGCACTTCATTTTGTGATATAGCTCATCTGTCATCACACACGAGGAGAGTAATCCAACACAAGGAGCACCGTCCATAGAACCACCCGATCTCTGTCGCGTGCAAAGGCACAGAGGGCTCCAGCTGCAGCCCCACAAACACAGGTCAGCATGACAGGGCAGAGCCGTGTGGACCGGCTGGGCCGCAGAGCCTTCCACTGAGGGGAACAGTAAAAAGATGTTTCCGAGCCTCTCCATGACCAGGCACGCACACTGTAACAATAACCAGGGAGTAATCCTGTGAGTGTAACAACAATCGCTTACACTGGGATAGCTTTATCCCAGGCACAGCATCTGCTTCCCATGCAATTCTTTACTGGCCCACCATGAGCGCTGCAGGGCTGCGGGTCAGCCCGTGGCCAGCAGGCGTGTCCTCTCGCTCCAGCCCAGCCTGCCATCTCTTCTTTGGAAGATCAGTGTTTCGTCTGTAGAAAGAGAGACTGCTCACGGTCTCTGTGCATCAGGGCGCCTACACGTTCCTGGGGCCTTCTTCCGGCAGCTACGAAGGTGAGGCCAACAGTTCTGGAAAACGCTGCTTACCTGTCGCCAAGATGCTGGTGCTTAAGAGGCTGTGTCTTGAGTTTGGTCCTCATTCCCTGAGCATGTTCTGTGGGGAGGTTCCATCGACAAGGAGTCCATGTCACCACGGAAGCCTGAACAGCTCCGCGTGGGTACCACGCAGGCAGAGAGGACTGACTGGCTTCCATCCTTCCTCACTCCTGGATGCGGTGCTCATGCCTCCCGCTATGGGCAAGCTTCTTGCAAGAGAGGTGATGCTTTCCTCCAGGACACAGGCACGATGGGTTCTGTTCATGCTATTATTTGCCCGGATATTGACGTCCATCACTAGCTTTGGATATTCAAATTCAAGACACTCCCCATGCTGCAGTGGGCGGCATCAGACTGCCAGGCCCCTCCGGAAGTGGCTGCTCATTTAGAGTTCAATCACTTGTGCCTCTCTGGAAAGGAAGAGAACCATATGCTACGTGACACACCATTAAACAGATGTGAAAGGTCATCAGCAAATCTCAGCAAGGGGCATTTCCTCACGCAACACAGCGAGGGGCCTGGGGGCCAGTGGCTTCTATGGAAGAGGAGTGTTTTAGGTGGAGCTCAACCTGCGACTGCTTTCTGCCTACCAAACCAAGACCACACACCCATCCACCTCGATGACAAAAAGGGAAGAAGTCATTCCCCAAGGGTACTAGGCACATCGAAGGGAAAGTGCCACTTTGTGAACTTGAAGAGTTTGCAAGATCTGGGCAAATAGAAGAGGAACAGGAGGACAGACCTACAGGAATGTAACTGGAAAGTGATACCTTCAAGTCTGAACTATATGCTGTTATCGAGGTGAGGCTATGCTGTACTTAGTGCATCGGCTTTGACGGGAGGGAACGCAGCATAGATATATATTAAAACCCAGGAACAGAGAAGAACAGGTGAGCTCACCAACCCAGATCGCAATACAGTAGAAAGTAGGGCCGAGACCCTTCGGTGGCCCCTCCCAGCTAAGAGCCTCCCAACACCTCCAGTTTGTGACTGAACTCACCTCAACACTTAGTTTCACATAAATATTATCTATAGTTGTTGCAGAAAGACATATTTATGCCTACATTGCATACTTGCCATTCCATTGTGTGTATTTAGTCTTAATATCTTGATGTTTAATTAATATCGCCCCTTGGGGGAAGAAGCAGCAATAGCAGAAGGATGGGGCAGAAGAAAACACCAACAGACCAGCCAAGCCCACGGCCAATAAAAGGGCGGCAGGTACTTACCCATCCATGTGTGGGAGAGCAAGGCAGCGGCTGGGGTTGCAGAGCTGAATGGCAGCAGAGCCGATGGAAAACAAGCAGTTGGAAATGAGCAAGGATAGTAAGAAAGACCAGTGGAGAAAGGGCTTCTAAGAGTGGGCCTAACTGCGGTCAGGTGATGTGCTTCTTCTTGAAAGTATGATGGACCAGAAGGACATAGCGTTTAAATTGGCCTAGAGGCCCAGGCTCAACAGAAAGCTCTTTCTTTTGTCTTGAACGAGTCCTGAGTAGAAAGGGCCCCTTCAGAGGAAGTCTGCAGTGGCTGTCCCTAGCCAGCACTTGCGCTTGAATTCCTGATGCCCAAAGAAGATGGGCAGGCCATGAGACCATCTCCTCCCATCCCCGATGGCCCAGAGCTGGGGACAGACACCTGCGAGCCACCTCCCGGAGGAAGCTGCTCTCTGCCAGGGCAGCCATTCCTCTTCAGGTGGCTATGTCACCAGCCCGGCAGAGCCAGCCACAGCCTGCAGGAGAAGGTAAGCTGGGCAGGAGCTGGGAGAGCATCGCTGGCTAGATTAGCAGGTGAATTAGGCTGGAGACCTAGACTGGGCATCAAGAGAAGGAGAAAGTCTTTTGGAGACTGTAGGATTATCGTGACGCCGAATCTTCTACCACATCCTACAACAAGTATACAGATCAACAGGGAGAGGAGGAAAAGAAACAAAAACTCTAATAACAAAGGGTCTATCCAGCCTGGTTTGCTAGGAGAGTCCCCGGGTGAGCTAATGCCTGCTCATGCTGAAAAGACTTGTGACCAAATCCAACACACATTTCTGATTTTAAAAACTCAATACAATAAGAATTGATGGGCACTTCCTTAATGTGATAACATGCACATACTTCAGCCCTCAGGCCAGTGCTTACTTAGTGGAAAGCACTAGTGTATTTCCCACCAAGATCAGGCACAAAACAAGTCTGCACACTGTTCCCACTGTTATTTAGCATTGATGGTCTTAGCAGATACGATCAGAGAGGAAAAAACAATTACAGGCATAAGAATTGAAAAGATCTGGAGTTTGACGTGCCATCATAAAATTTAGAACATGACAAAGGTGACACATAAAATACCAAGAAGGAAACCAATGCAAACAATAGCAGTATCCAATAAGGCAGCTGCTACAATGTTAACCTGCAAAACCAATCCAAAGCAATCAATCACCAAGGAGGAGACGAACTAGGAAACTCCATTTACAAAAGCAAAAAACACATCAAATATTTAGGAATAAACAGAAACTAAAGTGTGGAAAACCCATGAGAGTAAAATCTGAAAATTCTTCTGGGACACACAAAAACAGACTTGTAATTGCACACCAATATCCCTGATGAACATAGATGCTAAATTCCTCAACAAAATATAAGCAAATTGGATCCAGCAACATATTAAAAAGATCATACACCATGACCAAGTAGGATTTATTCCAGAAATACAAGAATGATACAATATTCTCAAATCAATAAATGTGATACATCACATAAAAAATTGAAAGACAAAAATCACATGATCATATCAATAGATGCAGAAAAAACATTCAACAAAATCCAACACCCATTTTTGGTAAAAACTCTCAGCAAAGTGGGAATAGAGGGATCATAACTCAACATAATAAAGGCCATATATCAAAAATCTACAGCCAACATCATACTCAATGGGCAAAAACTAAAACCATTTTCCCTAAGAACAGGAGCAAGATAAGGATGTCCACTTTCACCACTCTTACTCAACATAGTACTGGATATCCTAGCCATAGCAATCAGACAAAAAGAAAACATAAAAGGTATCTAAATTGGAAATGAGGAAATAGAACTGTCATTATTCACAGATGACATGATATTGTACATAGAAAACCCTAAAGACTTCACCTAAAAACTACTAGATTTAAAAAATGAATCTGGCAATGTAGCAGGATACAAAGTTAACACCCAGAAATCTATGGCTTTTTTTTTTTAATAGACCAATGATGACCTCTCAGAAAGATAAACTTACAAAAGTCCCATTTACCATTGCA